CAAATCCAAGGGCTACATAGGCAAGGAGGATGCTGGGCATCTGTGGAACTAGAGTCCAGTAGAGGAGGGGGTGGAGCCCGCTGGGCGTGAAGCTGCTGCTATGGAGACAGGGACGTGGCACTGGGGAACAGGCAAGATGGCATGAGGGTGGCCTCAGCACCTTGAGCATGTGTGCTGCCTGCTGCCCAGCTGGGTCCTATCACTTCCCCACAGCACTGTGTGGCCTCTGCTTTACTGAAGAAAACCGTGCATCAGGCCAGTGCAGACACCTGTGCCATGTGCTCATTGGTAAGTGTCCTGCCTCTGAGGTCATGGCTCAGTGCCGCCTGCATCCCCTAGTGCTCTGCCAAGGATGTCACTGTCACCTCAGGAGCATGTGGCAGTTACGTCTCTTGTCAGAGCCCAAGGGAGGGAAAGGGACAATCTGCTGCAGTTCCAGCTCCCAGAACTCCATGAACTGCCAGGGCCAGGAGAGAACTGTCCATGTGGCATCTTCCTCCCCATGATAGCATGCCGTGGTCACACGTGACCATTGTCCTGTGTCTCATGTGCAGATTTGAAGCTTAGCAATTCCCAGGCCACCAAAGGGATGTCACCAGTGCGTGACAGAAGGGGGCTGCACTGAGCACACGTAGACTGTAAGCGTCCCAGTGGGAGACTGTGTCGTTTTTCTGCTCATGGTGCCTTTAGCGAACTGTTCATACTTCTCCTAGGAAAACAGCACTGGACACGCTGTTCCTTTCCACTGAGCTCCAAGCTCTTGGGTGCAGTCGTCGCTGTTTTTCACGCTCATTGGGTATGACTTGGCAGTGCCCAGGTGTGGCAGATCCACAGATAGTGAAGAAAGTGGGATGAGAGTGCGTTGGCAGTATCTTTGTTAGGAAGGACATTGGAGTCTCTACACTTCCTGGAGCTGGACATCATTGGAAAGGTGACTCAAGTGATCAGAGGTCCCAAAATCAGCTTGTAGATGAGCAAATGTTGAAAGTCCATGGGTCTCTTCAGTCACCTCAGCAGACAAAAAGTAGCTCTGCTCATTAAAGTTCGTCATATGGGGGTAAATGCAGCAGCTGGGGACTACTGACCCCAGCCAGTTACCACATTGCAACCCCCCTGCCATCATCCCAGACCACCACCCACAGCCGCCTTCCAGTACCGCCCAGGTGCCCAACAGAGAGGCTGTGATGGCGCGGTACGCATCTTCCCCACGTCTGGTCAGCGTGTAACATCAGCTGAGCTAAATCAGTGTGGTGCTGAGCGAGGATGGCTTGCCTGAGGACTGATGCCAGCGCAAAAGGAGACCTAGAGAGGAAGAAGTGTTGGTGTTGGTTCTCCTGTTGCCTTGGGTTCTCCTGGAGGAGCTTGTCAGCTTCTTTCCTGCTATGTACTTGGCTGTTCTCGTCATCAGCAGAGCTTGGGACTTGTTGTCGCTGAGAGTGGCTGTGGTTCACTTTGGGGGAGCTCTGGTCCTTCTTTGAGCATTGCTTCCTGGCGCTGGGGGTAAGATGTGTGCTATTCAGACTCTAGGAGAAGCTTGTCATGCTGGCTTCCTGATGTGGACTCTGTTGTTATCATTGGAGGAGCTCGGGACCTCATTGTCACTGAGGATGGCTGTGGTAATTTTGAGGGGGAGCCCTGGTCCTTAATTTGAGCATTGTGGCTTGGCTCCAGGGCAGAGCCCTCCGCCTGCTGGCCTACAGATCCTTCACCCCACTGGCACCAACGTTCTAGCTTCGACTGCTGAGCCTTCCCAGTGCAGATCCATGAAATGGACTCACATGAGTCATTGTCATGGGCTCTAGGCCTCCAGCTGGGGACTGGGGCGGGGGGGGGGGATTGTCATGGGCTGTAGGTCTTCAGATGGACTCATGCAGGACATTGCTATGGGATCCAGACCCTCAGCTGGATTTTTAGGTCTTAGTGTGTGGACACATTTCCTGCACTTTCTTTATATTTGATTTTTGGAATGACTATCATAAACAATACTATAAATTATGTGTCCTGTATTGCCTTTCCCCTGTCACCCCTGACTACAACAGCATCCGTCTGTCTGTCTTCATCCACCTGTCTTCCCCCAACCAGTCACTGAAGGGAGGAGACTGCTGCTGTCAACACCTGTGTGAGGCCACAGGGAAGACCCAACCCCTTCCCCAGGCCCCAGTCTGGTCCCTTCAAGTCTCAATGCTTGGCTGTGTATGATTTGCCTTGGCTCCTCATGCACCCCTCCCTTAGGGTCTTGGCTCTGGGAGCCACCCCACCTTGGGTACCGAAATGTAGGGATACTCAGGTCCTCTCCCTGGTCTAGTATGGGCTCTGCATGGAGCCTTGGCGGACATGAGGATACCGTGCACTCCACACCTCTGAGCAGGCAGTGGTCTACCCATGCTCTGCATGAACACAGATGTTTCTGAGAACTTTTAATCTGTGTGATTAAACCTGTGGCCGCAGAGCCTGTGGTGACACAGCCCAAGTGTGTTGTGAAGCCCCAAGCTTGCTGGCTGGTGCTATTGGCCAAGTGCCCACCAGGGCTGGGCCTCAGATGCATTTACCTGAAAGAGTAGACATCTTCTCACTGTCAGATTTGCAGCCTTATATTCCAGAAAACTGCTGGGGCCATTAACACCATACTGGAGATCTGGCAGCACAGCCTCACAGCACCGTCTGCAGGTCTCTGGGAGGTGAGTGCCCTGGGCAGCTGCTGCTCCCGGGCTGCAGCCGAGTGGAGGGGCAGAGGATGAGATTCTGGGCTGGGAAGACCAAGGGGAGCTCTGCCATTCCCTAGGCTCTGCCCTGTCCCTGCCCTACCCCAGTTCCGTTCCCCAGCCAGTTACGAATGTCACAAAATAAAGACTATAGCTATGTGTTTCACAAATTATTTTAAATCAGAGTACAAAGGATTTTTAGTAAAAACCTCTTCACACAGCCACCTCATACATAGGTGCTGCATAAAAGCACTCTTAAGTTGTGGTCCAGCTTTAAACTACGCTCCCAGGTCTTCCTCCTGCTAGCTGTCTCCATGTTCCTCTGGAAGACCTAGGGTGCACCTGGCCGACTCTGGGGTGAACCCTCGGAGGCTCCGATCGAGCTTGGCTTTGTCTGTTACAGGGTGTTTTATCTGAGCAGTGCTTCGTCTAATGGCCAGGAAATGGTTTCCTACAAGGGTCAGCATAGGAGTTGAGAGCAGGATATCACTGAGCACATGACCTCAGCTTGCTGGAGTCCAAGTTTTTGGCTTTTTAGTCACTGCTGTGCCCCATTTTTCTTTTACATTGAAGAATTTTTAAAATACAAAAAGCCCCTTCCGTTTCCAGGCATCATTGCTAGGACACTGAAAGAAGCCAACGCCTCTGACGTTTGTCCTTAAGCACTGGCAGGACCTGGTTCTTACCAAGGATGGAGACTGCTGACTGTGTCACTGCAGTTCTGGAGAGTGTCCTGGGCCGGACACGGTGTACGCACATTAGGAGCGTGGGTATGTCGAGAGATACACATGAGGAGCAGGACACTGCGATGGGAGCCGAGTGTGCAGGACCAGGCAGTCAGCGTCCCTGTGCCACTCCACTGCCCGAGCTTGTTTATTTTGCTTTGCCTGCATAGGCTCCTCGTTCTTGGTCCTGCTTCCCACGTGTGGCTTCTTCCTCTGCCATGTACTCTTACTCAGAAAGAATCAGTTTCTTTTTAATTCCTTGTCTATCAGCTTAGCATCAACATCAGCACAAGATTAGCTACACTGGAACTGTCTTCTCCGGAGAAAATGTGTGTGTGCTGGGTATGTGAAGCCTCAGAACAAACCCAGTGGCTGAATTTGTGCACCCAGTGTGTGACAGAGTCACTGGCCCATCGTATATTTAGCGCCTGCAGTGCCAGTTCCAAATGTCATCAGTTGCAGTGGTGGCCTTGGCCTTGGTTTCAGCTTTCCTGGGTCACTGGAAGCACGGACGTTTTGGAGAGAAGACTATGCCAACCGCCAAGCTCCGCTGACTGTGCAGTTGACTCTAGAGGACGTTCCTGAGTGTCCCAGTCCCAGCGAGAGTCTCGTTATGGAGTCATAAGAAAGGCACAGTGTGCTCTGACGCTTTGGGTGGCATGTGGTGTGGGACACTCTGGGAGGCCTTCGAGCTCCGGCGGGGGCTCTTTCCTTGCTGTAGCCCGTGAGAGCACAGGAGATAGGGTGTGAGCCCTTCTTACCCAGGGTCCTTCTCCTCAGAGCCTGCACCCAAGAGCCTTGTGGGTGCTGGGATGGGGGACGATCAGTGTCCATTAATCCTGAGCCTCAAAGCTGAAACCGTCTATTTTGTAGTTTTAAACGTGCTTTATAGAATCAGATCCAGTGTGGTTTTGTAAGACATTTTTCCCCAGAAGGAATCCTCAAGGTAAAACAGTCAAAATAATTTGACTTGTGTCTTTGGAAGCACTAGGAGATGCCGTGGTGGATATTCAACACGTTTGTAGCATGTTTCACCTATCCACCTTCTCTTCTGTGCTGCTGAGAACTGAACCTAGAACTTTTGAAGTACATTTCCAGCACTGTTGATCTGGTTGCTTATTTTGAGATGGGGTTCATTAAGTTGCCCAGGCTAATCCCCACTTGCGGTCCTCCTGCCACAGCTTCCCAGAGTGCTGGGGTTCCAGGTGCACATCTGCACACCTGGCTAAAATTCACCTTTGTTAAGTGTTGTCCTGTTCTCTAGTTTCTGTTGTTTGCATATGTGTGAAGAAATGGGCGGTCTTATCAAAATTTTAACTTTGAGGCCAACTGACGCAAAGTTAGTGGAGTGCATACAGCAATAGAGATGAAACACAGTGAAAGAAAACTCTGAGTGTACCCTTTTTAAAACCTGTATGAAAATAGTGCTTTCACCGTCTGGCTTTCAGGAAGCAGGCAGTGGCGGCGTTTACTTTCTGTTTCTCCCCAGCGCCCTGAGTGGCGGCGGCAGGTGCTGGCACTCACCAGCCTGTGCCCCTGCTCAGTGCCTCTCCTCTTCCCCACCCTGATTCAGGTGTCAGGAACTACTTGAAAGAAGCGCTGGTGAACATAATTGCGGTCCACGCGGAGGTAAGCTGGCTCTCCTGTCCTCCTGTGGGGGGCCAGGGGCAGCGGGTGATTTCCCGCTTTCTAGTGTATCTTGGGTGTGCAGAAAACACAAGTCAGCTGTGTACAGGGTTTGATTGTTTCCTAAAATGGTGTTTCCTCTGATAATGAAAACTAAATTGAGTAAATGTGACAGGCAAAGAGCAAACAGGATGGAAGTTGTTTCCCATCCCTTAGTTTGAAAAGTGTGTCATCCTCTTGTCAGGCAGAACACAGACTTCTCAGGCCCTGCTTACAGCTCTGCCAGTGGTTTGGGGTGCTGGGGCTCACACTGATGGGAAGCCAGATCAAATGTGTGAGAGAGAATGGTTCCAGCTAAGATCTCCTCCCCACACACAGCCAGGGAGGTGTTGCTAGGTTACCACTGCTTCCCCTTCCAGCAGCCTCTGAGGCCAGCAGGGAAACGGGAAAGAGGAAAGCTTGCCGAGGCCCCCACAGAAGAGCAGAGTACAGGAGTGCAGTGCTGCCTGGTTCCTGAACTGGGTCACATCGGAAGCACCTTGAGCAGAAACAGGATAGTATGCTGCAGTTTTCATTTCTTAGTAAACCGGAAATACCGAGGTCCCCGTGAAAACACGGGCCTTACGTCATTCAGCACAAGCAGGTGTTCATCGTGGAGCTCCTCTTCTAATGAGCAGCAGTGCTCAGTTGTGGTTTATGGACAGAATAAAAGCCCTCCTGCTGTGTGGGCTTCCTTTAACATCAGCACACCGGGAGCCTGCCAGTGGGGCATTTCTGGGGCAGCAGCCGCGTGGGTGGCAGCCCGAGCAACCTGCTGGCTTTTGAGGAGGCCACGTTCATCAGCATCCGTAGTCAGTGACAGTGACATCATTTGTAAATATCAGGGCTTTAGCCCCTGAGCTTTAGCCAAGTGACAGAAAGCAAAATTGCGTCTATATTATTCACTGTTGGTCACACATGAGCCTCATGACCGAAAATCTTCTTAAGTGCTCAAATTATGTTGAGTCGACCCAACAGAATTAATATGTAAAAGAAAGGAAAAATTATAAAGAAAACATAACTCGAGCCCAGGGGTTTAGCTCAGCGGCCTAAGGGTTGAGGTCATGAGTTCGATCCCTGGTACCCCCCCAAAAAAGAAAAAACATGACTATAAATCAGGAAAGTAAAATATTTCACTAAATTTCCAAATCTAGTAACTCAGTTTGAAAGTGGCAAACTTTAAACTTCAGTAATACTGTGTTTAAATGAAAAGAAATAGAGTGTTTAGCGCAGCATGTAATAACACCAGTCACAAAGCAAACTAATGGGCCTCGTGTGCAGGGTGTGTGTCGCAGTGTAGGGAGTCAGGCCCGGTGGCTGTGTGCACACCTTTGTTTGGGAGGATATTTTAAAAGACAGATTGTGGTGTGCTGCTCTAGCTGGGCATAAACCGTTGACTTAGACTGTCCTCCTGCCTCAACCTCCCAAGGAGCTGGAATGGCAGCTGCATACCACTGTACCCAGCTCAGGATTTTTTTAAATTATTGCAGAATATTTATCTTCAAAACAGTTTTTAGTTTGTCCACATCAACAACACCCTTCAAAGTCATACTTGTGTTTGATCAACACCATGGTTTTAAAGGGAATTATTTTGTCATTGATCTGTTAATACAGTTGAAGTACAAGACTCATTAGTAACATGGGTCTTTTAAAATACTACTTAGCAAAGGTACAGATTTCTCTTGTTCCTCCTTGTGTTCTTTTGTTTCCAACACGTTCCAGCTGGACAGCTCCCCCAGTGCCATGGTCCTGGCCCATTTGCCCCACAGGTGTTCACCATTTCCAAAGCGCTGGTGCCGCGTGTGCTGGCCAGAGTGGTGGAGGCGGTGTCCGAGGAGCTGAGCCGGCTAATGCAGTGTGTGTCTTCCTTCAGCAGGCACGGAGCCTTGCAGGTACTGGCGTCACCGGGCGGGGTGAAGGCCCACCGGCCCTGCTGTGCATGATGGTGTCTTGAGGCACTCACGACTTGGGTACATGGACTTGCGCCACTGCGCCGCCCCCTCCCCCCCACAGGGCACAGCCCTTTCTTCTGTCTTCAGTGCAGAGGAGGCCTTCAGGCCTTGGACACTGCCTGAATGCAGATTCTTTTCGTCTCTGTGACTGTCCTTATTTTGCAGTTGTCTTCACTGCCTTATGCCTAACAGGAAAATGCTATCGCCTGATTCTGGGAAACAAATCATCCAAAGCCGCGCATGTAGGATTCTAGGAGGCCATCTTTATGTGCAAACTCTGGGCTTATGCTTCAGCTGGTGGAGTTTCACAGCCACAACACTAGAACCGCCAGGTGCCGAGATCCTGGCAGGGTATAGCCTGGGCTCTGCTGCATGACCTGCTGCCCAGGAACGTGGCTGGGGTAGGCAGCTTGGGTCCGATCTCCTCCCAGACACAGAGCAGGGAGCTGTGCTTCCACTGGCAGCTGAGGAAGCACATGCCTCCGCAAATAACACGTACTACTGAGTAAGGTCTAAGACTAAAAGTTTTAGTTAAAACAACCTGACTCACTGTCAGCACCCAGATTCCGGAGCAAATGGCACTGGCTGACCTCCCCGCTGCTTGTGGATCTGATCCTGAGAGCCCCAGGGAGCCTGGAGCTCCTCCACAGCACCTGGTCTTCCAGCTTAAGAAGTAGGCTTCAGGCTGCTGTGGCTACAGGAGAGTGTGGGACTGGCGACGATGCTCACCGTCTGCATGCAGTTAGCCTCTGACACATGTCTTGTACACCCATCCTGCCCACCCAGCCCAGCCAGGGCTAGAGCAGCTGGAGAGAGACTGGAACTGTGGCCCAGGAGCCAAGCATACCAGTCAGTGCCCGTAATTCATTTGCATGCTAGAATGTAAGTCAGCGCTCTCTGGAGGTGTATCAGAATCTGGTGCTGCAGCCAGCGCAGCTCTCGGGGTTCCTGGGATGAAGGACCTCGAGAGGATGAGAAAACAGAGACAAAAGCTCAGATCAGATGGACTCCGCTCTCCTGATGGGAGGAAAGGAGCTGCCTCCTCACCGTAGAGCTTTATGCATACATTTAGCAACTTAATGTAATCTGCATGTATGGAAAACCATGGGACTGACTTTGGGGTCTGGAGTGAAGAGTTTTCTGCAGCTTGCCCTGGGTGGTCCTGGCTGGCTCCTTCAGGTGTGGTCAATGACCAGCTTCAGTGACTGCATATAATCTGAAATCTTCACAGCATAACTCACAACATCTAGGGTTCAAATTTAAAATTAACTGAAATTTAATCAAAATAGACAAGGAAAATACAACCTGTTAGTAATACAAAGTATAATCAATTGAGACTAACCTGAAGATAACTCAGTCATTGGTATTTGCAAAGTACCCAGTGATGTAAAGGAAAATGCACTTATAATGAATCAGTAGTGGTGAAATCTTAGTGGAGAAATAAGATGCCCTAAAGGAGGAACTGAGTAGCAACTCTGGGATGAAAATGCATGGGTACAAGTGAACTTGTTAAAAATCAACCAGATGGGAGTAACTGCAGAACAGAGAGGAGAGCGAAAAGGAATCATTTGACTTGTAGATCAATAGAAATTACCCAGTGTGAAGAACAGAAAGAACAATGTGAAAAAATAAACAACTCTAGGGTCTCTGGGACCGTGGCAACAGGACTGGCGTGGGAAATGAGATTTCTGGAAGGCTGGAGGTGGTGTCCAGAGCAGGAGAGGGCACGCTGCTACAGGTGCACACTGTTAGACCGCGGGTCTCGCTGCAGTGGGGCTGTACGGGGCACTGGGTGCTGGGCTTGCTGGGGAGGTAGAGCCATGTGACTGTAGGGAAGGTGCTTGCAGTGTTTTAAACACTAGATGTCCACGCAGCCCACAGCCCAGTCTTCCCAGCCCTCCTGACACTAAAGCTGAAGACATGCAGGGGTGCTTCTGCAGGAAGCTCCCAGACCCTACGTCGGAAGCTGCTGGTCAGCGGGGTAAACAGGAATGCACCACACTGCATCAAAGCAGAAGAACTGCGGGTGACAGTCGCGTGAGGGAAGGAAGCCTGTAAGAAAACTTGCACCCCTACAGCGTACTGTGTGGGCTAATTTACAGGAAAGTTCTAGAACAAGTAAGGAACCTGTGAAGGAAATGGCCCACCGCGGCTCCTCTGGTGTGCGGGAGCTGCCGGGTAGCAGGCAGCACGGCACATGACAGACGGGGGCCTAGGGCGGTGAGCAAGTAGGGTAGTGCAGATGCCGCGTGCGTTCAGGACGAGGCTGACAGTCTTTCAGGCTCAACACACTTGAAACTTTTCAGAGTTAAGTAATGGAGAAAAGCAGCATAGAGAACACCTGATGATTTGGTCAGGAGATTTGTTAGAAGGTCTGCATTTCTGCTTGCCATGGTTTTCACTGAAAGTGTGGTCTTGTGGCAGCCCCTGCTGCACAAGTAGGTGTTGAGGGGTCAGGATTGCTGTCATGGTCCCGTCACAGAGAGCAGTGAAGAAGGGCAATCAGGGAGCTGCCAGAGCTGCGCAGGCTGCAACATGTCCAGGAGACACAGACTCGTCTGTCTCTAGGATCCAGGGCACTCCTCGGACTGAGCAGGTGGTTCGGTTTTTGAAAAGCTGTCGCATCACGAGGTAGAACTCTGCCTTTGCCATGTGGCGCATGTGCAAGGCCGGCGTTCCCCGCTTAGGGGCATGTCCTCACAAGGAGTGCAGGCTCCCCTTGGAAAGTCACAGAGGTGCCCTTTGCAGAGCCGTTCTCAGCAAGGGAGCGTAGTCAGCGTGAGCTGATCTGTCAGGACTGGTCCAGGTTAGACAAGTGACTAGAGCTTGTGTAATTGGCATAAGGGAAGGGTGAGTTAAACACCCTCCCTGCTCCCTGACCGAAGTCCCTGTCTGATGGTCTGCTGTCCCCTAAAGTCCTCACCTGGAAGTAGTGCAGTGTCCTCCATGTGGTTTTGTCTGCACCAGAACAGCACAGTGGAGACAGAACTGGGCACATGTGCTTGTAGTGGTCATCGCTTCAGGCTGCCTTCAGGAGAGCGCTGTGGAGCAAAGCCAGGCAGCTGTTCTCCCAGCGGAGGAGGTCAGTGGGCTGGATGAGCACTACCCCACTTAGCCGGGCTGCTCCCAGGGTCCCTGATGCGCCACCCTCCGGCCGTTTCACTGTCCTGAGGATGGGCTTTTCTCCTGGAAAGTTGCCTCTCTGATTGTCTGTCCTGGAAACCGCATGCCAGAGAGTCACATGAGTGTGGCCTGCTGTGACAGGCTTCCTCAGCTTAGCCTGACGTTTCCAGGTCAGCCCATGTGTGTGGTGTAACTGTGCTTCATCCCTTTTTACGGATGAGTAATATTCCAGTATGTGACTATGTTGTATCTGATGTTCTGTCAGATAACGGGTATTAGAGCTTTCCCCTTCTTAGCTGATAGAAAAGGTGTTCTTGTGAAGAATATTTGTGGGCATGCTTGCACATGACATGTTTTACTTCTCTTGGGTTTGTATCTAGAAGAATTACTAGGACATGGGTGTTGTGTGTTTAATCTGAAGAAATGCTGAGTGCTTTTCCAAAGTGGCCACACCATCCCAGTCTCAGCAGCAGTTTGCAAGGCCTTCTCTGCTCCTTTCCAGCACTGGCTGTGGACGGCTCTTTCCCTGGAGGTAGCTCACACAGAGGGTGTGACACAGTACCCACTCCATGCCTCACCTTCCCTTGCTGATGCTGTCTGTCCACTGGGGCACACAGGTGTTTAATTTTGCTGAAATCCAGCTTATTATTTCCTTTTGTTGCTTGTACTTTGAGTGTTATTCCAAATGCTTATCGAGACCAAGGTCATAAGGATTTGTTGGTCGTTGGTCACAGCACTGGCCTTTGCGCCCAGAGCTTTCACACTGACTACAGGCAAGCCCACTTTTGTTGTTTTGAGACCGTCTCACAGCATCACTAATTGCCCGGGCTGGACTCAACCTTGCAGGCCTCCTGCCTCAGCCTCCCCACTGATGAGATTACAGATGTGTCTCCCACACTTACTTGTAGTTTTATCTCACTTACGTGTAAGACTAGGCCTGTTTCGAGAAAATTTGTGTGTTAAGGACGCTGGCAGCTTCATTCTTTGGCATCTGAATGTGCGGTTGCTGAAGGGAGCCCTCTCCCCAGCGGGAGGCCTGGGCACTGCAGTGTGTGCTTCGGGGCTCCCACTCTGTCCCGCGGCTCTGTAAGTCTGCTTCACGGCTTTGCCACACTGCTGGGATTGAGCAGCTAGGTAGGACGTTTGAAATCTGAAAGAGTTAAGTCCTCCAAAGTGGTGCTGTATTGCAAAACTGTTTTGGCTACTCTAGGTTCCTTATATTTTGAAACAAATTTTAGGGTCAGCTTGTCACTTTCTACGTAGAAGCACAGCCGTGATCTGAGTAAAGCTGACTTTGAACTGTCAGCCCTGTCTGTGTCTGCGAGGAGGTAGGCGCCCTGGGCAGAGCCTGGATGTGAGGCCGCAGCGCCCGGCCACTTCCTGCCCGCGGGCCTGCACCGGAGCCCCCTCCTCTTGCCCCCCAGGCTCCCGGGATGCAGCTGGCTGCTTGGTGCTTTTCAGAGTAGCACGTGCAGCTCCCAGCCTGCACATGGTCGGCTCTCGTGGCAGCAGGTTTCTCTGAGCTGTCTTGGGAAACCTGCTCATGGTGTGGTCCTTGCGGTGTGTCGCACCCTCCTCAGGAGCCTCCAAGTATGCCTGCCTGTCCTCACTCCTTTTCTCTTTTTTCAGGCGAGACTTGAAATCTGTGCCTTGCGAGATACGGTGGCCGTTTACCTGACGCCAGAAAGCAAGTAAGACACCAGTGTTCTTGTTCTTTCTAAGAGTGAGAGTGTCCTTCTAATGTGTTATGCTTTGTGAAGGTGCTTGAAAGCTAACTGCTTCTATATGTTGTCGTGGTAAAGATTATATTTGGTCTATGTTTTTAGCTAAAAATATGTACCTATGAGAAGCCAAGGCCTATGAAGGCCACTTCTTTGTAGCACATTATAAAGGAAATAGTTTAATAGAACTTTTGTTTTCATTCACAAGTATGCCTCAAGAATAATATGACCTAGCATTGCATATTTCTTTAGAAACAAGAGAAAAAGTGAGTCTTAATCTATTCATAGCAGACTTGAAGGACAGTTGTAAATAGCAGTGTAAGAGGAAGCCTTGTGGTTTCTCTGCAGAATTTGTAGTGGAAATTTGATGATAATTTTTAGCTGTTTTGAATGAAAGTCAGGATTTCCTACCATTGAAAATCAGTAGGTGAAGTGAAACAGAACTATTTGCCTATACAAAATTGTTTACCACATTGATAGTATTACCTAGGAAGTACGGGGTGAGGTTGGTAATGTACCTGACAAGCCAAGTAGTATGCAAATCAAGTGTTTAAGGACACGAAACATACTAACTCATTCATTTCCAGCATCTGGTGACATGGCACGTGCCGTCAGTCTTGCTGTCACCGTTACAGCTAAAGACCCAAGTTTTTCTTAATAAATGAAGTTGCCCCTCTCTCCCTTTTTAATCCCACACTTTTCTGCACAAAGTGCTATGGGGAGGAGAGACAGGCAGCCCGCATCTCCCCTTGTGTCTGCAGTGAGTGCCTGTGTCTCCCATGAACTTACCTTCCAGCATCCGAAGGTATTCATCTGTAAAAGGAAAGCAGTCCTGCCTGAACCCCCTTGTTTAAAATGCGGGGAGTGAGAAGAGGTCCTTTGGAGGGGGGTGAGAGATTGGAATGTTTGCTTATGTGCAATGAAATACCTCAGGAGTGACACCCAAGTCTAAGCAAGAAATGTGTTTGTTTCATATACATCATATCTACAAAATCTGAAGATCCTTTTTTTCTTTTTTTCTGTCATCAATTTGATTCATTTTTTCAATGTTTACTTTTGGTTAGTGTGTGTGCAGTACGTGATGATTGGCTGGTCCCTTTCATGACACACCTTAGTTCTTTCTCCTCCTCTCCGTACCTCCTCATATTTTAACTGACACCTTTAATACCTTTGCCTTTGCTGTGGAATTTTCTGCTGTAGCCTCATGGTGGGCTTCAAAAAGCCTCAGAATGGGGCAGGTCAGGTTTCAGATTTTGGACGGAGGCTGCACAGGTTTTGAGGGCCCTGAGCAAGGTGTTGAGTCACCTTCCACAGTCAGCGTCTGCGGACAGTGAGTAGTGTGTCTTTGGCTTCTTCGTCATAGTGAAGAACAGTGGGGTTTCTTTGGACTGGGGAGAGGTTTGTAGAAGTTGGATGATGGAGGAGACTGTGGCAGGGAATTCTGCTCTCCTCGAGAGGGAGGGGGCCAGCGGGCTGTGGCAGGTGCTGACATCCAGAGTCCCTGCCCCTGCCTCTGCCCTTCCCCTGCTCCTCCCTTGCGCTGGCCCCTGCCTGGCATCCTCTTTTCATGTTGCTGGGATTCCTGTCCCTGCTTTGATGGTGCTCAAAAATGTAGATGAGGAAGTTGTGATGACGGCACAGAGTCAAAGACCACCCAAAATTTAATGACTACATTTCTTGCCCGATGCCAGTCAGAAAAGAAGCTGAGAAAAGTGCTCAGAAGCTTCCCTCCACATGTGCCCTAATGTGCTTTTCCTTTGGCTCAGGAGTTTTTCTGATACTTCATATTTGCAGGAGTTAAACTTACCAAATAGGTAATTTTCAGATTCATGTCTTTTCTCTTTCTCACGTAGAGATGATACTGAATTTCTAAATTTATGAAAGTATACTAAAAACTAGAGAGAGCTGTAGGTCCCTGTTTCCCTGCACCGAGTTAACCAAGGCCCACGAGTGCAGTTCCTGTGTCCTGAGCTAGTGGCTGTGACCAGGTCAGAACCACGGGGTCCTGCAGGGGGCATTTCCCGCCTCAGATCCCCGTCCTCTCTTCCCCGCTGCTCTGTCTGTAGCTCAGCTTTGTTCTGAGAAGCAGGGCTTAGCAGTCCAGCACAGCCACACGCAGTGCGGCTCCAGCTCCCGTTCCGCAGAGCGGCACCTGCTCACTCCTTTAATTTCCCAGCTGGGACTGGGCTCGTCCTGCTCCGCGCCTCTGACAACTGAAGCCTCACGTTTGCTTTTCCTCTGGCTTTTCGACTTTTTCTTTTTCTTGCACTCCGCTCACTTCACCTGTGTTGGTTTCTCTGTGTTTCAGATGTGCTTCTGTGTCTCATGGTGGCCCCACTTGTTTCCTTAAAGCTGGGGTCTGTTTGGGATGACTTGTCGCTGTTTTGTTCCAGGTCCAGTTTCAAACAGGCTCTAGAAGCCCTTCCACAGCTCGCCAGCGGAGCAGATAAGAAGTAAGCTCTGCACTGCCTGGTGTCTCGGGGAGGGAGGGACGCAGCAGGCTGCGGGGAGGAGGAGGCAAGACTGGCAGCACTGCATTAGCCTGCTCGTCCTCCAGGTGACGGCGTAAGGTGAAGCCTTTCTTCTAGGTCGGGGTAATTCAGAATGAGCTCTTTTTGAGTTATAAGTAATTGGTACAGAAAATATCACAAGAAAGCTTCTTATTCAGTGAACTATGAGAGAAGGTAGCTTAGTAAAACAGGACTCCGTGACTTTTTTCTTTTTGATTTGCTCAGTTATATGCACTCTGTCCTCTATAAAATATGAAAAGCAAAAGATTCGTACATATGCATGATAAAACTACATATTTCATCACCACCACATTAGCAGTCTCAACCGGCACTTGAGCTGTGCTTCTCATAGAGCAGGAATTGTGACCTGAAAGGAAGGCTCATCCTGGGCTCCGGCACCAGCTCAGGGCAGTGCAGGTCACTGTGGGACCAGGGTTGGCAGCAGGGCAATTGTTACAGGGCATTGGTGGGCCTGGGGAAAGGGACACCAGTGTGACTACACTGTCCCTGCGTGTGCCTGCCACACTGACAACCCAAACTTCCATTTCCCTGCTCCCAGCTTCTGTTGAGCTTTCAGCCATATCAGAATTGATTCCAAACCATGTTCAATTCTTGAAATATGCTAAAACAGAAAGCAGTCACCATCTTCTACAACATGGCTCAAAAGCTGGGGTGTCAGAGTCAGCTCTGCCCTAGGACTTGAGACCCACTGAGGGTCAGGCCTGACCACTGCCCAGTGGCAGGGGCCTCTGGCCTGGCACTCAGAGCCCACTTCCTGCTTCCTGTGCCTGGGAAGAGCTCTCAGTCCTGTCTGGCTCCGAAACTGCCAACCTGCCACTCTCATTCCCCAGCCAGTGCCTGCTCACTACCAGCGGAAAATCAGGAGCAGAAAGCAGGTGAGTCTGCAAGGGCTGGGCCAGGGAGATGTTACCTGCTCCGAGCCCTGTGAGGAACAGGCCCAAGTAGTGCTTGGTTTTAGGGAAGAATCTCATCCACCCAGGGCAGGTGGAAAGGGCAGGAGTCTTCACATGCAAACATCAGCACATGCATTAATTACATCTCCTTCCACCTGCGCCTTCCTTTAATGTGAGTCCACAGGCAGGACTTTTGCCTGTGGACAGAGGCAGAGCTGGGCACTGGGCCCAAGTGGTAGCTGTGATGGCTGGGTTTGACACCACGTCTCCTCCACAGGCTCCTGGAAGAGCTGCTGAACAAGTTCAAGAGCAGCATGCACTTGCAGCTCGCCTGCTTCCAGGCCGCCTCTCCGGCGCTGGTGAAGACATGAGGCACAGGGGTGGTAGGGCCGGTGCTCGCCCTCCCTGGGGGGAAGGTCCTGGCATGGGAAGCCCTGGCTGCGCAGGCCCCTTCCCCCACCTGTGACTTAGTAGCAGCACAGAAATTGGTGGTTGGGGTTTTTAGTTCAGCCAGAAGGACCCTCTGGGAAGTGCCCAAGCAAGGAGGAGCTGTGTGGCTCTGCAGCTCCCCTTTGAAAACCTACTTTTCCACCTTCGCTATTACTGGGCGAGTGTTAGGAGGGCTTCCCCGGGTGTCTCGCGGAGGCACCTGTCGTATAGGGAAGCATTTCTCCAGCCTCGCTCGCCACAGGTTCACTGTTTCCAGCACACACGAAGAGGTGGATAAAGGATTTGGATAGTTACATTTAGGCATCTTTGGAGCTGGCCCTAAATTGTACAGCTGCATTTAAAGTCTTCCTTTTGTGCAAAGGGCATAAATTTCCTAATTGTAGTGGGTTTTAGAAAACTGAGCTGCACAAAATGCTCATACAGCTGGAGTAGATTATATATGTGGTTTAGAAGTCCACACATCAACGACACTGTACTCTGCTGTCTGACCTTGATCTTTCCCGTGCGGGTCCTGTGGACCTGTGTCATCTGTCCCAAGGGGTGGTGGGACAGTGCAGCCTGCAGCATCATAACTGCACTGCTGGGCCTGCAGTGCCCGCCCTCTGGGTGGCTGCTTTCTCTATGCTGCCTCCTCTGGAAGCTCCTGCTGCAGAGCTGGGCAAGTCCATCGCCTGTGTTCGCTGAGGACTCAAGATGCCCGCCACACAGCAATGATTCCCTGAAAATCTGCTTTCTCCCCTGCTGAATGAAGCCTCTTTGTGGATGCTGGTAATTTCAGGCCACAATGTTAACCGTACACCAAAGTCACTGTTCTGGATCATTGAACACGTTCAATGCTGTACATGTTCATTGTAACTGGAAGTGGAGGTTCCCGTTCACAGACGCAAAGGGCGTGGCATGTTTTTTCTCATACGTGTGTTGACCACGACATCCCACATGACTGCAGACTAAGTGAGGAAATTACAGTTGTGTTGTCTTAACTCATACAGTGCATTCGGCCAATAAAGAATACCTCTTCTGGAAGATAAAGTTCACTTGATTTTTTTCCCCAGTAATGTCTTTATTCAACATTTTCTTTAACTGTGTAATGATTTATGTGTCTCTTTTTAACACTTAAATACTTGCATTCCCTGTTTATCCTATGTTTGTTACACCATCATGGGAAAGCATTGACCGGTGCTGTGCTAATGCTGTGTGTTGGGCTCACCATGCACTGGGGACCCACTGAATCACTCTGCTCAGTCCTTGTCCTGGCCATCTCCTGTGCCCGACCAGTGGGTGAGGAGACCCAGACCCAGACAGGTGTGTGGCTTCTCCAAGACTTGGGGCTGGCGAGTGGCAGCTGCCACTTCCAGCTCCCTACCCTGCATGCACTTGTTTTTCCTGTCCCTTCCCTGGGGACCACAGTCATGGGACAGCGTGCAAGTGCAGGCAACTGTGAACTTCAGCAACGGGCATAAAAAACCCCGTACCCAAATGAAGGAGCTCGGCACAGCCGTTCCAACAAGTCATGGGACTTCTTGGAAGAAAGGGGGATTTCAAGGGCTGCTTGAGTGACAGAAGATGAGCTCAGCAGCGAGAAGGAGATGGGGGAGCCAGCCCCAAGTTGGAGGAGAGGGGAGTAGAGCCCAGGGTGGTGGCAATTTCACCATGCAACACCAGCGGAGGCCGGGGGTGCTGAGAGCCCCACACAGGCAGCATGCGACACAGGATGGCCAGGTCTGCGGGTTGCCTGGCTCTGGAGGGATTGGTAGGGCTGGCCCCCCGTAAACCACCAGAGAATCTGGTTTCAAGAAGACTTTCTGTATCCGTGCACCATGGAAGCAGCCGATTCTAGAAATGATGTGGGCAAAACCTCTGCACTTGGGCTCAGCTCACTGACTCATTCTCTCTGCCAGCCTTGCATGCAGTTCCTTTTTAAAAATTGTTTATTTTTTTGTGAGTGAATGTTTGCAGTTGGTGGGAGTGGGTGCCAGTACATGGTGTAGATCAGTTCTCTGAAGTCCTGTCCCCTCCCTGCCGCCTCCCGCTCCTCTTCTCCATCCCCTTTTCCTGTCTTCATTCTTGCTGAGATCATTAATCTCAGTCCATGCTCCTAACTTGTGCTGTTCACATTGGTTGAGATCCTTGGAGTCCTGTCCACAGTGTATCTTTGGCCCACATCACCCCATCCCCCGTTTGCCCTCAGTCCCCTACCTCTTTGTAAGCAATCCATCCCCTTATTCCCTCTATCCCCCCTTTATTCTTTATTGTGCTCCAAAGGGATCAAAAAAGATTCCATTTGAAGTCTGGTTTTGGTGCAGAGTAAGGGTATGTGTTTCTCTTGAATGTGTGCTGTCAGATATTCTGTCAGCAGTTGCATAAGAATATTGTAATATGTTTTCTGAAAAGTTGCATACTTCAACTAGTTTCAAGAATAGGTTTCCAAAATAATTCTACTAGAACAACTATGCCTCGAATTTATCTTATTTGCTGAAAATAATATGCATAACCGTAGACCAAAAATAGCATCCATTTTTGCTGTTAAACATTGATCTTGTCAGGGTTTCTGTAAAGATTTTTATACAGACTTGCAAACCAACTGCAAAATCCAAAGAAGCTGTGGGACAGGCGACACTGTACTTGAGCCGCACACAGCTGCTGCAAATGATTGTGTGAGGTGACCAAGCATTTTGTGTGCCGCTCTCACTTCACCTGGAGTTTTTGAATTTTATTGTTTGGATCACTGGAAAGCCTTGTGTATCTGGCAAGATTATAAACATGTCACAGTGAACGTCTTGTGAAGGGGACCGAGTGGATTTCAGCTGTCAGTTTGCATTCCAGGGAAAGGCAGCAGAAAGTCTTTGCAGGTAAAACATAAACCTGGCCAACGTGAGCGCTGGAGCCATTCCCCGGCCTTCGTCAGCAGCTTCCTAACCGTGATGACTGTCCTACCTGCCTGGCTGGCACTGCTGTCCAGACTGATGTGATTGATAGTATCTCTTTATATTTAAAAAATAGTCATGTCCCACCTGCCTAGAAACTTTTGAGCAAAACCACTTCCTCTGCCCAGCTGCCAAGGAAGTCCTTCCTGCAAGGTCTCCTAGTGAGAGCCACAGGGGAAGAGTGGGGTTGTGGCACCCAGAGAAGGACAAGTATTACAAGAAAAAGACCCTCACCAAGGCCAAAGGGTGCAGAGATCAAATGAGGGTACTGAGAAAAAGTCCTGGCATTTAGGAAACGGTGCTGGCTGTGTGGAGTCCTGTGATCCCAGCGCTCGGGAAGCAGAGGGCAGGGGTCGAGCACGTTCAGGTGAAAACTACATCATGAGACCCTGTCAACCAAACAAAAGGAAGACACGAGAGGGCTCCTTTACCTCACAGTGGGCCCGTGAAAGAGCACCTCTGAGCTCTCGGTGTCCTGGCCTGGGACAGAAGCCAGCTCCTCTGGGGCCTCTTTGCTCCTCTGCTTTAATCTGTCCCCTCTTACCTCCTGCTGCCCACCCTTTTCTGTGTGAATCATAGGGTGCTCACCCCTGACTTCTACCAAGTCTCCCTCTGATGACAAGGATGAGGATGAGGACGTCCCGTGACCGCAGGGCTGTGTCTGCTGCTGTGTCCCCGAGCCCTGCTCTCCTGACTACATGAAGGACTTTGCTGCCACCAGGCCACTGTGGTGTGGGACCTGGGCTGTTTGGTGTCACTGCTGCTCTGATGTTAGCAGATGTGTCAGACCATTTCTGTTTTCATAGTAAATCCACAGTCAGTCCACTCCCGTCCCGTCCCATCCTCCCCTGCCTGCTGCTGAAGCTATCCGCTGCCATTCCTGCAGCTGGTCTGCGTGCTGAGGAAGACACCTCCACATCACTTCTTAGCACCTTTCTGTCACTGCCTCTCAGTTCTTTGGTTTGGGACAGGAAGGTCTCCCTGCAGTAGAACATCAGAATCTGGCTCCTCCGCCCCATTGCCTGAAATGCGCACGCATGTGCACACACACACACCCCTCCACCTGTGGGGGCTCGTTTGGATAGACTGTACTATTCAGTGTCCAGATTATTAGGCTTGTGTGTACTGTCAGTGTGAAGCCATACGCAGGCCAGCGCGAACTTCTGCCTTGCTCCTTGGACTCCTGTGGCTTCACTGTTGCCTTTCTGAACACCAGGCTCGAGGGGTGTCACGTGTCAGCCCGGAGTGCCCTGCTTCTGTCTTCGCCCTCCCTCAGCACAGCCCAGCCTCTCAGGGCTTCCTGTCAGAGGATCCCTTGAGGCCTGGACTGCAGGGAATCCTCTCCAGCTAGGCTGGACAAAGCGGGCTGCCCTCAGGGTTCGGTGGCCCCCATACTGCCACCTCTGTCCGCATCCTCTCCCCTTCCCTCTATGCCAGAAGCCTTTGCCTTTTCCTCGGTCTGCAGCCGTTCCCAGAGTTCTAGGCGGTGCCCTTCTGTTCCTAGCACTGCGTCCAAGACCTAGATTCTGGGAAATGTTGGTGAGTTATTTCTTTCAGTGCCCTGTGCCCCTGTTTTGGAGGTTTTTGTTTTTGTTTTGTTTTTCTTAGTATTTGGACCGTTGCACTTCCTAATCTTAAACTTTTTAGTCTTTTCCTTCGTCCATCTCCGTCTTTATTTTTGAGAAATTCTCACACTTAGACCTTTTCTGGTGAGTTTTAATCACTGCTCGGTAGGCTTGCCTTCTCTGGATGCTTGTGTATTCCTCCCTTCTGTGGGAAGAGCACTGCTCCTTTAGCAGCGCGCTGTTTGTGTGTAGTCCCGCTTTGCCGCGTCCTCCTGTCACAGGGTTACAGGGTAAACATCACAGCATACTTCACATTTCTGCTGCACTTGGGAGTGTGTCACAGTTCACAAAAGCACCCCGAGGTTGCCTGGGGTCCTATTCCTGTTAGGTGCCGGGCCTTCAGCAGTCGCACGCTGCTCGCTCTGGACTGCTGCTCCAAGACTGCTCCTACTTCCCAGAGAATCCCCTTCCAGCCTCGCAGTGAGAAGATGTGGGTGCCCTCAACTCAAGGGATGCCGGTGGCGGGAGGACACTGGGAGACCCGAACCCCAGTGGCATCTGGGGGAGCAGAGCTCTTGCTGCTGTAGGGAGAAGCCTGGGGGAGTGGCCCAGCTGTGGGAGAAAGAGGAGAGCTGTGGCTGCCAGCTGTGCTCCCCCAGCTGCAGGCTCCGCTTTGGTTCAGCCCCAGTTACCTGGACTTCCAGAAGTTCCCGGCCAGCTCCCCACGCTTTTTAGGCTCTGTAGTGCAGGCTGTGTTTTTGGGTCTCACTTTCAGGCTACATCTGCTGGATCGGTTTCTACTCATCCGTGTGTTTCTCAGCTTTTGGCTTCATCTGGCTATTATGTCCTCTCCTGTTCCCTTTGCCTTTGTGAATGTATACATACATGCATGTACACCTGTATATACACAGTATAGTCGAGTATATTGTGTTATATATAGAAAACGTTACATACAGCATGTGTGTGTACCCAGACATACAGAGAATGTATTGCATATGTATGCACACCACCACACCCTGTCCTGCCATTTTCATATACTTTTGATAGAGCTAAGGTTACAGTGCGGTTTTAATTTGCCATTTGTAACTAAAGCTCAAGGTTAAACTTTTGTTCATATGTTCTTTTGTTTTTTGATGTGACTGTAATGCCAGGACATTCACTCACACACATAGTCTTGGCAGACTTGTTCTAAGATAGGATAATTTACTGCATGCAAGGCTTACACACTGGAGAGGGCAGGGGCTATCTACTGTACATTCTGATCCCGCCCACTGGCCCTGTCAGGCTTAGCAGAGAATCATTTTAATGCCACAATCAGAAACCAGGTGTGGAATCTCCCAGCGAAATGCCCTTGCTAGACTCTTGGTGAACTTTGGGCTTCGGTGTTAGATCCATTTAACAATTCACAGGAAAAACGAGGTAGAAAAACATCAATGAACAGTCAACAAAATCAGTACTACAGGAAACTAAAGCACATAACCACATTTCTTCAAGAAGGTAATTGCAGGGAAAAACTAAAAAGAATGAAAGAGGCAGAGAT